TTACAGAGAGAAGTGTTATATTTTCACTGATCATAAGAGCTTAAAGTATCTTCTGACCCAGAAGGAACTTAATTTGAGACAACGACGCTGGCTAGAGCTTCTAAAGGATTATGATTGCGTGATTGATTATCACCCTGATAAAGCTAACATTGTGGCGGATGCTCTGAGTTGAAAGACGATAGCGGAGTTAAGGTCTTTAATGGCCAAGATGAATTTATATGACAATGGCACTCTGTTAGCAGAATTTCAAGTTAAACCAACTTTGGTGATGAGATTAAGGCTAAACAATCTCTTGCTATCTCCTTACTATCCATCTTTGAGCAAATAGAGCAGGGGACAAGCTCATATTACGCCCTTGATCAGGATGAAGTTTTATGCTTTAAGGGTCGATATTATGTGCTCGATGATTCTGAGTTGAGGCAGATTATTCTTAATGAGGCTCATAGTAGTCCATATGCTATGCACCCCGGTGGAGATAAGATGTATCGGAATTTGAAAGAGATGTATCATTGGGTTGGCATGAAGAAAGATATCTCAGATTTTGTGGCTAGGTGTTTGACTTGTCAGCAAGTTAAAGCATAACATCAACATCCATCAGGTTTGTTACAACCTATCAAGATTCCTGAATGGAAATGGGAGCGTATTACTATGGATTTTGTTACTAGCTTACCAATGACTTCTTCGAAAAAGGATTCAATTTGGGTGATTGTTGACAGACTTACAAAGTCAGCTCACTTCATTCTTGTGCGGGTAAATTATACTTTGGACAAGCTGGCGAGATTGTATATTTCAGAGATTGTCAGATTGCATGGTGTTCCATTGTATATTATTTCTGATCGAGATCCGAGATTTACTTCAAGATTTTGGAAGGCGCTACATGCGACTTTGGGAACAATATTGGATTATAGTACATCCTTTCACCCACAAACTGATGGTCAATCTGAGAGAGTGATTCAGATTCTGGAGGATATGTTGCGGGGTTGCGTAATTGATTTTCATGGTAGTTGGGATAACTTTTTACCGTTGGCTGAATTTGCTTACAATAACAGTTATCAGACCAGCATTCGTATGTCACCCTACGAAGCATTCTATGGGCGTAAATGTAGCACTCCGATATGTTGGACTGAGTTGCGTGACCGGAAGACTTTGGGACCTGAGTTAGTACGCGAGACGAAGGACACAGTCAGATAGATTCGTGACCGTCTGAAAGAAGCATTTGATAGACAGAAGTCTTATGTAGATCAAAGGAGGAAAGATATTCAGTTTGAAGTTGGAGATCAGGTCTTTTTAAAAGTATCACCTGAAAGAAAGTATTGAGATTCAGGCGTAAGGGTAAATTGAGTCCAAGATTTATTGGACCATTTCGTATTTTGAAGAGAATAGGACCTGTCGCATATCAACTTGAGTTGCCTCCCCAACTCAGTCGTATTCATGATGTCTTTCATGTATCAATGTTGAGGCGATATCGTCCAAATCCAGATCACATCATTCAGGTTGAGGATGTAGAGCTAAAACCTGATTTGTCATATGAGGAGGAGCCCATTCAGATCTTAGAAAGAGATGAGCGAGTTCTTCGGAATAGGCGTATTCCAATGGTCAAAGTTCAATGGAGTAACCGTGGCCCCTCAGAAGCTATTTGGGAGACATTGGAGTTAATGGAGACTCAGTTTCCTCAACTTTTCTCATAAGGTAAATTTCGAGGACGAAATTTCTTGTAGAGGAGAAGAATTGTAACAACCCTGAAAAAAATGAAAAATATTTATTATAATTGTGTAATTTGGCAAAATTTGGGAATTTTTGTGAAAAATGTGACATTCTGGGAATTTTTGTGAAAAAGATGATATTTTGGGAATTATTTCGAATAAAAGTGATATTCTAGGAATTATTTAAAAAAGGTGATATTTTGAGAATTATTTTGAAAAAGGTGATGGTTTGGGAATTATTTCGACAAAAAATATTATTTTCGTAATAGTTGACTGTGGACTTTTGAGAACCTTTGACCAAAACTTTAACCGGCTTTAAACGGCCATTAAACGACCTTTGATTTTGTTTGAGTATACCTATTTTGACATTTTTCAACGTACCGAATCTGTTTCCGAAGTCCGTTTTTCCAAATTCGAACCCGAAGGCCTCCAAATCATCAGTCAAACCTGTTGACTTTGATTTTGACCAAGAATTTAAATTTTTGAAAAGTCATACTTTATGTTTTTCGACGTCCTGATTCCGATTCCGTAATTCGTTTGGTCAAATTTAGACTCGAAATCCTCCAAATTGATAGTCAAATCCAAAAAATGCTTATATACTTAAGAATTTTAGCTTTGATCAATTAAGTAAGACTTGGAGTTGATAAATTATTATTGTTTGAAGGTACAAGAGATTCTACGGATCGTTCGACAGCTCGACGCAGCTCTTCTAGATCAGTTAAACAACGTGTGCCAATATTCACCCGTAAGATCCGTAAATTTTATGATTTTAGAGATTAATTATGTTACCCATTAGTAATATAGTGTTATTATAAATTAGGTTCGAAAATTGTAGCAGAACGTGGTGAGACCAGCAATCAGTAGATCTACTACTTGAACCTATTATCGAGGTGTGTTCCATATTTATTACTGAACTGTTTTATTTGTTTTAATATGTGGTACAGTGAATTCTTTGGTTACTGTTTTATTGATGTACCGATTTAATGTGATGGTTTATGGATTATGACCGCTATCTGATTTTATTTTGAAATGGTATATGATTACCATGTTTATGGATTTATGGAATTTATGTCACGGTGCAATTGAATTTTTGGAATACGAATTTATAAAGTACAGCTCTGATCAAGCTGGAAAATTTTACAGACCTAATGTGACTCTTAGGTAGGCTCTGCGGCCCTAAGATCATTCTCGGGTAGGCCCTACGACCCTAAGATGTGTTCTTAAGTAGGCTCCACGGCCCCGAAATCTATCTTGGGTAGGCTCTCAGGCCCTAAGATATTCCCTTAGGGTAACTCTTTTATGGGATTTACTGCAGTATAATTTTTATGAGATTTGCTGGACTATGATTTGTTTAGTGTACCATCATGATTTTATAGTAATGTTGTGACACACTGAGCCTGGCTCATTTTTCGAAAATGTTTTTCCCTTTCAGATACTGTTGGTTAGATACACCTGATCGAGCACTTGGAGGATCAACATATCTCTTGAAGTATATCGTATTGTAATGTTTTATCTTTTAAGTTGACTCTATTTTGGTAACATGTGTCTTATTTTAAAGTATTGGATAATTACTCATTTGCTATTTATATTTGGTTTATCGTAAATTTAGATTTTTAAGATATGTTTAAATTAATTTGTTTTTCCTCATTATATTTATGATTTGTATTTTTATAGTATAAATTATTATAATTTCATAAACGTCATTTATAATGTGATTGTACCATGATTGAATAATGGTTTCGAAACAATATCTTTAGGAATCATGAATGTGATTCACTAGACTTAGACGAAACGCATAGACCGGGTCTAAGGGGTTACAAAATTAATATTTCCAGAATTATGCCTTTTCTTAATATTAAATTAAGATATCGTACGACAGATCTACCCCATTTATTCATACTCATACATATAAAATGATATATATAAAAGAAAAGTATTTGAAAATTAAGAAGGAAGCTAAAGGAAGTGCATCTGCTATGCACCAATAAATAAGAACACAAATCTTCTTCCTGGAATATTTGGAGTAATTTGAACAATATGCGGTTTTATAATTTATTTAGTTATTACTAGGTAAACGTAGCCATCACCAGCTTATCTACTAGGGCCATATTGAAATTTTGAAAACCCTCACCAACGTACTATACATCAGTACGGAAAACGGGCGCTGGCTATTCTTTATTCATTTATTAATTCATTGAACGTGGGTTGTAAAGAGTCGACCTTAACCAACCAAGAACACCGTAAGGAAACAAAGCTCGCACGCACGCCTGATCTAGTCGTGGAAAACAAATGCAGCAGATGCCTTGGATGGCAACAAAGAGTGGTGCCAGCCAGCCAGGCAGCCTCCGAATCGAAGTGTCTCCCGACTTGGAGAGTTGATGCAATTGTACACGCACCGATGATGTGTGAAATGGGCAAATGAAATCCAACCGGCCAGCAAAATGAGTGAATGTAGTACTTAGAAATTGGTCATTGGGGCACTTACAAAAGGGGTGGGGTCACTTTTCTGTACCAAGTTGAGTCTCGACGGGAAATGGTAGTGGGGGCATGGCGTGAGTTGAGTTGAAATGGATGGATCTGGCTTTATGCTTCGGGCATTATTATATAGTGCATATAAATATATAATATAATTATATCCTTTGGTGAAAAACACACCACCACCACTTGAGGGGCCACTCATTACTGCTTAGTCATTTATGTTATAAAATTTATATGTTTTAAAACAATCAAATCTCATATTTTGCGGGGATTTTTTTTTGAAAATGTTTATTTTTAATTCGTTATATTTTGTTAGATTTATAAGAGTCTAATTAAATTGTTGTAATGACTAAGTTTATAAAAATATTATTAACCTTAGAAGTCCTTATTCGAACACTGTAAGGTGTTAGTTGAAAAACAATCTAGCCATGTACATTAATGACTTAATCTAATTACAGTGCGTCGCTATCCTTAAAGATCTTGAGTTCGAACATTGTAAAGTGTGTATTGAAAAATAATAACAACACATGTATATAAGTATTTTCTTCAACTTCTCAATAAATCTATGTTTATAAGACTATACTTAAAGACTTAAAAAAATTCATATAAACAATGTGAGATTAAAAATATCATAACAAAAACTTATTAGTTTTGAATATTTTATAAGAAAATAATTATCTTTATTCAATTAATCGATTAATCAATTTTTTACTCATTAATAGATTATATATAATAATCAGAACAGTTTCAACTAAAAAAACACCCTCCCCGCCATAGAATGCCTCTCTTTCTCAATTAATTTTCAACCTTGGGGGAATATACAGTACGCGACAACCGAGTCTGACGCGCATTATCTTGTTTAGCTTCTCTATCAGTCAACTCTTCACCATTCATGAAGCTTAATCATTCTCCGAACTCAAATAGTAACCGAGCCGTTTCAGCACATGTTAAACGTATCTGAATTACAATTTTAAGTCACTTTTGGTATGGAATATACCATTTAAGCCTACTGCTGTTAGAGGGTCTCTCTCTCTCTCTCTCTCTCAGTCTATGCTATTGCTCTCTTTGGTTTAAAACTTAGAATCCATGACTACGACGCTAAACTCGTTCTGCTGCTGTGAGTTACCATCTTCCTTTGTTCCAAAAGTCCTGTTTTGCTTTTGCTTTTCATGTTCTACCATGATTCTTGTGCAAGTTTCTGTCATGTGAACTAAAACTTCCTTTTTTTTCCTTCTGGTTACTGCTACAACGTTTTGATTTGATGGCTCGCACTTGATTCCAAGTTTTTTTCTTTTATTTTTTGGGGTGCTTTTGCAAATTAGAGGAGCTCAAGGTTTTCTCCTCAGGATCTTACGTTTTCTTGGTTCTGATTACTTGTTTCAGATCTGCTGACATTTTTTTTATTGCCTTTCTTCTGGTTCTTGACTCGATTCTTTCTACCATTCAGAGCAACTCTAGCAAAGCAGCAGCAGCAGTAACTCACCATGAATATCATCGTATGGCTTTTGGCGTCCATGATCTTGTGCAATGGTCTTCCTGCAATTGGACTGAGCACAAACGCCACGGGAAGGCCAAAAGTTGTGAATATCGGGGCTATTTTTTCGATCAAATCTGTGATTGGAAAAGCTGCAAAAGTTGCAATCGATGCAGCCATAGACGATGTAAATTCTCACCCAGATATTCTTCAAGGAACTCAATTGAAACTCCGGTTGAAGGACTCCAATTACAGTGGATTTATGGCGGTAGTGGAAGGTAGGTTATCTTTCTTATCAGTGTTGTGAAGCGTAAAACTTTTGCCATGTTTTAAAATTTGTCATGTATTGATTTGGTTTCATATTAGCTTTACTATTCATGGAGAAAGACACTGTTGCCATAATTGGTCCCCAGTCATCAGTGACGGCTCATGTGATTTCCCATATTGCCAATGTTCTGCAAGTCCCCCTATTGTCATTCTCATCCACGGATCCTACCCTGTCTCCTATTCAGTTCCCATTCTTTGTGAGGACTTCTCAGAACGATTTATATCAGATGGCTGCCATTGCTGAGATCATAGACCATTACGAATGGAGAGAGGTGATAGCAATCTACGATGATAACGATCACGGGAGAAATGGGATTGCTGCATTGGGGGATAAACTGGCAGAAAGAAGATGCAGGATCACCTACAAAGCACGTCTAAGCCCAGAACCGACTAGGGATGAAATCACCGATGTTTTGGTTAAGGTGGCTTTGAGAGAGTCCAGGATTCTGGTTGTACATGTTCCTGGTAGTTGGGGTCTTAAAGTGTTCAGTGTGGCTCAGTATCTAGGAATGCTGGGAAGCGGTTATGTTTGGATTGCTACTAATTGGCTATCTACTGTCCTCGATACGAACTCGCCATTGTCTCAAGATGCCATGGATGATATTCAAGGAGTTGTTACATTGCGGATGTACACACCAGATTCAGAACTCAAGAGGCGATTTGTTTCAAGGTGGATCAACTTAACCAAAGGAAAACCATTTGGACTCAACGCTTATAGTCTATATGCCTACGACACAGTGTGGCTGCTTGCTCGTGCAATCAATGAGTTTTTCAATAAGGGCGGAAACATTTCATTTTTAAATGGTTCTTTATCATCGGAGCTCAGTGAAGGAAACTTGCATCTTGATGCTTTGAGCGTGTTCCAAGGAGGGAACTTGTTACTTGATAACATTTTGAACGTCAATATGAAGGGTGTCACAGGGGATTTCAGGTTTACAAATGATCGGAATCTCATTAATCCTGCATTTGAACTCATCAATGTGATTGGTACCGGCTATAGAAGATTTGGATACTGGTCCAATCATTCTGGCCTATCGACTGTGCCTCCAGAAATGCTTTGGGGAAAACCACCTAACCGTTCGAGCTCGAGTCAAACGCTATACGGTGTTGTTTGGCCTGGACAAACCACACAGAAACCCCGTGGATGGGTGTTTCCAAATAGTGGCAGACATTTGAGGATTGGAGTTCCTTATCGTGTTAGTTACCGTGAATTCGTCTCGGTAGGAGGCCCTGATGCAATTACAGGACACTGCATTGATGTATTCACTGCTGCTCTCAATTTGTTGCCCTATGCTGTCCCATACAAATTAATCCCCTTCGGGGATGGTCGTACCAATCCGAGTGGCACCGAGCTGGTTCGTTTGATCACAGCAGGTGTAAGTGCCATGAAAAATCTCTTTTAAGGTGGTTGGTTTGTTCCTTTCATACGTTATCATCAAGTTTTCTTCTTATTGTAATTCAGGTGTTTGATGCGGCAATAGGCGACATTGCAATCATCACTAACAGAACAAAGATGGCAGATTTCACGCAGCCATATATCGAGTCTGGATTAGTTGTGGTGGCCCCAGTTTGGAGGAAGAATTCTAATGCTTTTGCCTTCCTGAGGCCATTCACACGAAGGATGTGGGCAGTGACAGCCATCTTTTTTCTGCTGGTGGGAACTGTAGTTTGGATTTTGGAGCATAGGTTGAATGATGAGTTCAGAGGCCCCCCGAGACGACAAGTAGTTACTCTTTTATGGTGAGCAGTGTCGGACTTGCATTGCATTGTGTTTCATTCTGTTTTGAATCGAGTAAACCATGGTTGATAACATTGTATATCGAAACTCCTTTTGTAGGTTTAGTTTTTCAACTTGGTTCTTCGCCCATAGTAAGTGATACAATACATATGACTGTATTCAGCTTTCCATTACCATAAATTAAACTTACAAAATTTGTGCTACTTGGTTTTTTGCCCCTTATATGCAGGAGAAAATACTGTCAGTGTACTTGGACGCATAGTTCTTATTATCTGGCTATTCGTGGTTCTCATAATCAACTCTAGCTACACAGCAAGCCTAACCTCAATCCTTACAGTGCAACAACTTACATCTCCTATTAAGGGCATTGGAACTTTAGTAGCAAGCAAGCATCCTATAGGTTACCAGCAGGGATCATTTGCTAGAAACTATTTAATCGACGAGCTAAAAATCGATCCTTCACGACTTGTTGCTCTCAATTCCCCGGATGAATGTGCTAAAGCATTGAAAGATGGGCCTCACAAGGGTGGTGTGGCTGCAATGGTGGATGACCGTGCTTATATCGAGCTCTTTCTCTCTACCAGATGTGAATTCAGTATCGTGGGTCAAGAGTTCACCAAAAACGGATGGGGATTTGTAAGTCAGTTCCTTTTATTTTGGTGCTTGTAATTTGTAGGTTTTGCCTGCAGAAAACTAATGGTATTGTTGGGGGGACAGGCCTTTCCACGCGACTCTCCTCTAGCGGTGGACATGTCAACTGCCATTCTCAAACTTTCTGAGAACGGAGATCTGCAAAGGATCCACGACAAATGGCTGTTACGGCGTGCATGTAGTTATCAAGGTGCAAAGATGGAAGTGGACAGGCTTCAGCTTAAAAGCTTCTGGGGGTTATTTCTCATATGTGGATTAGCTTGCTTGATTGCTCTCTTCCTGTATTTCTTGAAGATGGTGAGGCAGTTCAGCCGCCATTACTCCGAGGAATCCGAAATTCAAAGCTCCAGATCTGCACGCGTTCAGACGTTTCTTTCGTTCGTGGATGAAAAGGAAGAGGAGGTTAAGAGTCGGTCGAAGAGAAGGCACATGGAGAGAGTCTCTAATAGGGCTGATGATGGATCAAATGGCACTGGCTACTCCATCAGAAGAAATATTGGTGAATTTGCTTCAAACAAAAGCATTGGAACTCCTACCGGAAGTAATGAAGTCTAGGTAATGTATGGCTTTCATTTATCATATAGTGTAAACACATATTGAGATCATTTTATAAAACCAGTGGAGGTAAATTGTGTAAGAATCAATCAGCCAATAGCACATAGGTGCTAAGGGGCTTATAATGTACTTGTACAGGCAAATTATGTAAGAATTCTCTCTTTACCAAATATCAAATGGCAAATGAAAGAAATATTAACTAATAAAAATGTACATTACATACTATGTTGCACATTGCTATCATTTGCATAATTATACATTACTGGCAAATGAGACATCAGAAACATTGCCGTCTTCTGTAGCTGTCTTCGAACGATCGTATTCTTAAGCAACACTACTTGACAGAAATAAATTTATGTTTAAACACCATAACCATTGCTTTAAAAGTACTTCCGGAAGCATTCCTCTTCCCTGCAGTGCCTGCTAACAACTTTGTATACTTCAATAAAGAGTCTCTGGAATCGACAATCAAAATAACCATAGAACCCTTCTGGAACCGGCCCTACCAGTTCCTGCAATCAGTAGCCAAGGAAAAATTCTCAACCACAAGCAACAAATGTTCAGGGCACTAAATTCATGTTTCTAAGAGGTAACTTTTCATTTCAAAGCTTGACACAACTCATTGCCATGCTACATCAAGATACCTTTTATCTATTCAACCTAACTCAAATAAGAAAGCTTATTTTAATGTGCAACAGCTCGATTTAGATTCAAACCTGAATTTCTTTGGGAAGCTCTCTATGGTGATGTGATTTGTTCCTTATGACTCGCAACAAATCTCGGACACTGTCAAACTTATAACGGCGATAATACCCAATGTTAGCAATGAATGCTGTTTCCATTTTTCATTCCATTTTCCACGTAGAGCCATTGGTGCAATACTCTCCAATGATTTCAGGATGTCAGTCTGCCATCCTATCTTCTAATTCGACCCTGTCACTAGTGTCCTGAAGAAAAGACAGTCTCATCTCACAACTCCAAAATAGAGGATGTCACAACACCTCCAATGCATTTGGCCTGGCAGCAAGTTAGGAATATCTTATGAACATTAGAAAGAAAAATTATATTGAAATCCAGATGATTAAAGAAAAGTTTACCGCCCAGCAAGTCTCAAGTCTATTGCATTTACAGAAAGCTTTCTAAACTTGATGGTGGAAGAAAACAATCAACATACCTCAATTCAGGCTTGGGATTCAATAAACGAGAAATCAAATCCACAGCTTCAGGGATATGCTCCACTAGAAATAGGTAGACTCGGTTGTTGACAACATTGATATCACGTTCAAGATGATTGCCAAATGGATGCCTTCACCGAGTGATGCAGAAGAAAAGGACACAACCCAAACTAAACAAGTCAACTGCACGTGTTTGGCGACCATGAAGAAGCTGTTCAGGTGCTTGCCAACCTGAACTACCACAGCCTGCAGTAATTTGCAAATATCAAACTTTGCACAAATAACTAGTTAAAAGTTCCACAGACAAACTTTTAAAATAGGCAGCAGAGCACATTAAGAAATAATAATCAGCATTTTCATTGGTTGCAAATTCCAGAATGATCCAATAAAATTTTTGGAAGAACTTAAATTCTAACCCTGGGTTCTTGCTAGAATATGATTGCATCAACTAGCTAGTTGCTAAAACCCAAGTATATAAATTATGAGTACCGATTAAAAAAAATAGTCAGCATATATTTCAAGTAATGCAAATAAATCATGCGACTAACAAATAAAAATTAATAAAGATGCTTGCCAGTAGCATGGTGACCCAAGGATGACCTATACTCAAGAAGGCGCTTGCTAATGCCCATATCAGAGAGCTTTGCACACACCATTTTTTCCTTAATTATTAGCACATTTTGAGGCTTTATGTCGCGATGAATTATTCCCAGATCATGCAAATGAGCAAGACCAGAAACCATATCCCTGTGTAAAGATACAATAATAGAGGATGAAGCAGATATTTAACTAAATCAAATCTAGAAGCAAAATAAGGCCTCTTGATTTTAGGTGAAAGTTACCAAGGCAAAAGATTAAGGTAAACTCCACCCTACGAAATTATTAATCGAAATTAATCAAACGAATGTCATCTTTTAACAGCTAACTGAGCCCACACTAACCTCATCAGTTTTAGGAAGAGAGGAGATGGATGGCCATTTGCTTTCCACAAATTAAGATCCTGCATGACACCCTTCACCAAATCCAGGTGAATATTATGCTCAATCATAGCACGTGTTGCTGGGCCTTTGCTGAGGACTAGGTTTCGAGATGTATCAGAGTACATTTGAATCAAATCATCAACACTGCAAGTGCAACGCTCCAGAGCAAGATACACAAAATCTTGATCATACTCACCCCATACCATCTAACAATGTTCTGATTCTGGTCAGATGCAATGAGATTTTGAATTTCTTTGAAAGCTACATCAAGATGAGCTTGGACAAGGCATTTCACAGCAACTGCTCGGCCTTCGTAGAATCCCTCAAGGACAATTGTACCATTGCTTCCTTTTGCAATTTCTGTGCTTGATACAATTAGCTTACCTATTCTACGTCCATCAACACAACCAACTAGTTTATTAAGGTCCAGAAATATTTTGTTGTCACCGCCATCTTAGGAAATCCATCCTCAATAGAACCATTACTCTTCCCCGATCTTGAGATTTCTTCCTCTTGGAGGGTACAGAGTTTCTATTAGCAAAAGGCTGGTCTTTCAATGCAGCAAACTTTTTAGCCAAAAGAATATGGTTGATGACGAAGGCCACCAAAATTATGAAAAATAAGATAAAAGCCAATATTACTGGATATTTTCCAAAAATGTCCTTGCCATCAGTATGAGGTGCTCTCAGATCATGTACATCAACTATTCTAGAATCATTATTCTCCAAAGGAAACTGAGGGACACTTGTTTCATTGAACAGGTTAATTTTGAATTATGTACTAAGTTTTCTATTATAAATAGAGATGTAACCTAAACTATTATCATTGAATAAAAATTTTCTAGCGCCGCCTAGGCACCGAGGACGTAAGCATATTGCCGAACCTCGTTAAAATTCTTGTGTTCTTTCGTTTACTTTGGCCGATTTATCAACAATTGGTATCAGATGTCAGGAGCAAAATTCGAAGTTGCGAAATTCGATGGTCTGGGTAACTTCGGATTATGGCAAACGAGGGTGAAGGATCTGTTGGCGCAGCAGGGGATCCTGAAGGCTTTGCGACCTACAAAGCCGGCGTCGATGGAGGAGGAAGATTGGGAAGAATTGCAACAACGAGCGGCAGAACCATACGATTATGCTTGGCGGACGAGGTTATATATCACGTCATGCATCTATCGTCTCCAGACGAAATTTGGAGGAAGTTGGAAAGACAGTTTATGTCCAAATCCTTAACGACAAAATTGTATCTAAAGCAGCGGCTGTATGGGCTGAAGATGCAGGACGATCATAATTTGGCGCAACATGTGAATGTCTTCAATCAAATCGTTTCTGATTTGGCTCGGCTTGATGTAAAAATTGAGGATGAAGACAGAGCGATGATTTTGTTGTGTTCGTTGCCTCCCTCTTACGAACATATGATGACTACTCTTACATATGGGAAAGAGACTATCAACGTTGAGGAGATTACTGCAGCCTTGTTGGCTCACAACCAGCGGAAGCAGAATGCAGGGGAAAATTCTCAAGCCGATAGCTTATATGTCAAGGGTAATCGAGACCGTGGACGGAAGCCAGAGAAGGCAGGGTCTGGCAAGCGGAATTCCAGATCCAAATCTAGGGATAAGAAGACAATTCACTGTTACAAGTGCAAGGAGGCGGGACATATGAAGCGAGACTGTCTGAAGTTGAAAAAGCAGACTGATGAGAAGCGTGATGTTTCATCCAAGTCTGTGAACGTGGTCGAGGATGACAATTTTGATTGCAGTGAGGGTGATATGCTTTCTATTTCAACGACTCAATTGACGGATGCGTGGATTCTTGATTCTGGATGTTCTTATCACATCACGCCAAATAGGAAATGGTTTTCGACATACAGGTCGGTTAATTCTGGTTCTGTTATTTGGGTAATGATCGATGTTGCAATATTGTTGGTATTGGTGATGTCAGAATTAAGATGTATGATGGTTCTGTTCGGACGTTGAGTGGTGTTTGACATATCCCAGATTTGAAGAATAATTTGATTTCTTTGGGCACTTTGCACAAGAATGGTTTTATCCCTAAGGCTGATGAGGATAGGGAAACCATTCGGATTGTTAAAGGTGCTTTGACTGTGATAAAAGGAAAGATGACTGCAGGAAATATTTATAGATTGTTAGGGAGTACCGTTGCAGGTGGAGTTAATTCTGTTGAGTCCTGTGATGATACTACAAAACTATGGCATATGCGTCTTGCTCATCTTAGTGAACGTGGTATGACAGAATTACACAAAAGAAATCTGTTGCATGGTGTCAAAAGTTGTAAGCTCGATTTTTGCAAGTATTGTGTTCTTGGTAAACAGACTAAAATCCGTTTCAAGACTGCGAAGCACACAACTCAAGGGATTCTTGATTATGTGCATTCTGATGTATGGGGGCCTTCCACGACATCGTCTTTGGGTGGATCTAGGTATTATGTTACTTTTATTGATGATTTTTCACGGAAAGTTTGGGTGTATTTTTTGAAACAGAAATCTGAAGTTTTTGAGAAGTTCAAGCTGTGGAAAGGTGAGGTAGAAACCAAACAGGACGAAAAATCAAGTGTTTGCGGTCTGAAATGGTACGGAGTACACAGATTCACAGTTCTTACACTTCTGTAAGGAGCAGGGATTAAGAGACATTTTACAGTGCGCAAGACACCATAACAGAATGGTGTTGCGGAACGGATGAACAGGTTGAATGAAAGAGCCAGATATTTGCGGTTGAATGCGGGGCTTCCCAAACACTTCTGGGCCGAGGCTGTTAACATGGCGTGTTATCTTATCAACAGATCGCCAAGGGCATCATTGGCTGGGAAAGTTCCAGAAGAGGTATGGACTGGTCATGATGTTAGTTTTGATAACTTACGGGTTTTTGGTTGTCCTGCTTATGTGCATGTACCTGCTGATGAGAGATCTAAACTTGATGCAAAATCGAATGAGTGAATTTTTCTGGGTTACAAGAAAGGTGTCAAAGGATTCAAGTTCTGGGATCCAGTTGCGAAGAAA